GCGCAACATAAGGAGTAACTACCCGGAGATGCACTCCCACATGGTCAAATACAACCAAAAAGGAGTAGAGGACGCTCTCAACAGCCTTAAAACAGGGTGGGTTTCTGCCAAGAGAGACATGAACACAATGTAGAAATGGAAAAAGAGCCAGACAACTAAAGTACTTGTGTAATCTGTTTTACAATGTTAGGAAACTGGATGCCTTTATCTATGATGCTGCTGTGCTGAATTACATGGCTGGCAAAGACGAAGGATGCAAACTGGTAACCATTGGCAGCGGGAAAGTGTTTGCTACTACTGGTTATGGAATTGCTCTCCAGAAGGATTCACGCTGGAAACGCCCCATCGACCTGGCCCTGCTGCAGTTCCTGGCTGATGGTATTGTGCTTCATAAATTAGAACTACTACCCAAAAACATCAATATTATGATGCAATTACATTCAACATGCTCATAGAAAGCTAACAGTAACAATGTGCTACCTGCACATTGCTGCTAATAGCAACTATATAAAGAACATGTGAGTAAAACTAAATCAGAAATTGATTTATTTTGCTATTCACTTTTAGTTGAATTTATAAAACTGAAAGAGAAATGATAACGCATAATGCATAATACATAAATGCCAAACTGAGAGGCCATATCAGTCTGTCTTCTGAAGAAACTCTCCTTGACATACAGCCATTTCAGAGTAAATGTTCTGTCAGAGTAAAAATACTCAGCTTGACAAATTAACTGAGGAAATTATCTTACTCTATATAAAAATACATTTCATGTAACCTAAATGTTTTCTCTCTCATTTTTTCACACAGGTGACACCCAAAAGTTGCAAACCGTCTGGCTCACAGGTATCTGTCGCAACGAAAAGAAAGAAGTCATGAGCAGTAAGCTGGACATCGACAACATGGCCGGAGTTTTTTACATGCTGCTTGTCGCCATGGGCCTAAGCCTACTGGTGTTTGCCTGGGAACATCTGCTCTACTGGAAACTTCGCCATTCAGTTCGCAAATCAGACCGATTGGACTTTCTCCTGGCTATCAGTAGAGTAAGTAATTATCACATAATAAAATGGACAGAAGTAGTTTTAACATCATTTCTGGTTGTATTTTGATTTTTTTATTATTATTATTATTTCAGGGTTTTTTTTTTCAAAGGCACATTAAAGAGAAAATATGGTCTTCAAGTTTCTTAAAAAAGAAACTGACTTTTTAGTGTTGATGTATTAAATGACTCAGTATTTGGCATGCCGATCACCCACTGATTTGGTGAATTTCTATCATTTCTTGCCTTCCTGCAGTGTTTAAATAGTAAGAGAGGTAACACTGACAGGTAGGAAGCTTTACCTAAAAGTACAACTTCAAACAAATCAAACAGCCATGAATAAAACAGGTTATTCCATAATTATTATATTCCAAAGATGGCAACGAAAGGAGAATAAAATAGCCTCATAGTGGAAAGAGGATTTTATGGTGTTTGCTGAATGAAATGGTCATGATACCTGAGAAACTGAATTTAAATTACCCCATTAAAAACCTTCATCTCTGTATCAACTGTGGTCAAAGGTGAGATTCTGCATTCCAGAGCAATACACAATTTGAAAGTAAAATAAAGCTAGTGGGGGTGAAATGGAGAAACTAATATGCTAAGTGCATGATCAGCAACTAACATTTATAGGACTGATGTCCAATATCCTGCAGCATAAAAGCATCCTTTCAATCTCAGAAACAGTCACATAAACAAGGATAACATTCTTCTGCAACAAGCCCTTCACCTCATTAAAAGTCTGATCTTCATATGAGAATTTATTAATGGGGAAGTAATCTGTGATTGTAATAAAACATAATCAAGAGTTCAGCGATCTGCAGGTTTATTTAAATTTACCTTTCCATCCATTTACAGGGCATCTACAGCTGCTTTAATGGAGTAGAGCAAACTGACCGCAACGGGAGCCTGCAGAGTCCAGACATCACCACCAACTACAGTCAAGCCAACATGCTTAAGATGCTGAGGACAGCCAAGGACATGGTGTCCTCTGCCAGAGTTGAGAACTCTCTCGATAGCGCCACCAAAACAATAGAAAACTGGAGCAGACGTGGAGTCGACAATGTGCGAGCTGGCCTGCCTCCCAGAGTTACAACCACAGATGTGACCCACAGTCGGCTACCCTATATCTCCAGTATAACAGACAATCATTCCCCCTACCCTCAGAGGGCCATTACACCAACGTTCCCAGTTCATTATGGGGACACATCCACTCAGCCCCTTCTGGAGAAGCCCAGGGTGGTAACCCGACCCACTCCTCTTCGGTACACGCTGCCTACACGCAGCAGTCAGCATCTGTTGGAGAGAACTTTGCCCATTTCCAGCCTCAGCAGCCCACACATCGCCATGAGAGATCCAACTCCCTGTGGAACGTCCAATCCCCACCACAGCAGCAGGCTGTATGTGGAAAACCAGGGCCGGCACACAGCATCCCCTTTTGTTTCCTACAGGGAGTTCCAGGTACCTGACATTTACGTGGAGCACAAGGGACCCCTCCGCAGGAAGTTCAGCTACCCCCCAGACTGTGTAAGCCGGAGACGGAGGTCTTTCAGCTATTTGTTTAATAATCCAGAGCCAAGAGTGAGAGTCGACTACGATGAACCACGGTCTTGCTTTGCTGAGTTGAGAGCCAATCACCTCCTAAACAACCAGGCCCCTCATGGGATGGCCATGGCCTGCACTCCAGGACACTACCCCGGCAGCAGCACCAGCTGCAACTCCTGCATGAAATCTTACCTGGAGCCAGAAATGGACGACATCCCCCTCTTAGGAAAGGACAAGTTAAATCGACGAGCCTCATTTCTTAAAGCCACGTGGGGCAATGATAGAATCCGTCAGGTAGATGAAACAAAGCCTTCCACATCCACAGCTCCGTCCACCCGAACAGACATCCCTGATTTGTTTCCACAGGTGGTGGGGCCGAATCCAAAGCCTCACAGGCTGTACGGCAGTTTGGGGCACAACCTGTCCTGTTACCCCCTTTCCGCTGAGCCAGCCTACTTAGACCCAGCCCATATGGGTTCTTACCCCTACAAGCAAAAGATAAAGTACGCTGACTCTACCCGGCTGCCCTCTTACAGGGAAGCTATTTTGCAGAACGCCGCTGCTCTGCGCCGATCCTCCTCTACGGTGGTGCACAGACATTATTCCACCTACCTGAACTCATACACAGATTTACCAGTGTATGTGGGGCCTCTCCCACAAGGACCGTCCCAGTTCTACAACAGCTCAAAGGACATGTGCCACTTGTTTCCCTGTACCAGCCACTGCCCAGAAAACACAGCAATGCACCCCAGAATGACGGACAGACCAGTGGTTTACCACAACAACATGTTTGGACCTTATGATGGCCCAAAGCGGGAGGACTTGGGTTCAGGAAGCCGAGATCGGAGGCAAGTCCTTGTGGCGCGAAGAGTCAACAGTCCCTATGTGCCAAAGCCCTGGGGCAGGGTCTCCAGTCTGGAGTCTGAGGTCTGAACCACTCTCCTTGTTAGGCCCACTGACTTCCGTCCCTCTGAGGAGGAATATGTATGAAGGTTCTTCGTTGAGCTTTCAGTCAAAGCAAAAATGAAATCCTACACCAGGGGTCCCCAAAGTCGGTCCTCGAGGGCCAGCATCTTGCATGTTTCAGACTCTCCCTGGTTTAACCTGGGAGAGTCTGAAACCTGGATAAAATGATGGCTCGTTACAGACCTAATAAGAATATTGACATTCTGAAAAGGTTGTCACTACCGCCAAGGAAAGAACTAAAACATGCAGGATGCCAGCCCCCGAGGACCGACTTTGGGGACCCCTGCCCTACACCAACAGTGTACTTGAGAGAGGTTCCTCTCAATTATCAGTGCAATAATATATTGGGCAGCAAAAAGAAAAATACAGCCTAAAAGCTGGGACTTTTGTAAGCCAGACATATTGAATTATTAAAAGAAATGGAAATATTGAAAAGTATTTAATGCATAAGAATTTAACCTGTGGATGGTTGTTTAAAAGCATTTAATTTATGTTACTAGCTGAAATCTTTTGGGAGACGATATACTACAGTCTCTCAAATTCTCAGTCTGATTACAACTTAAGATATTTCTGTATTTTTATTTCCGACATCATTTCAGTACCCATGTTTAAAGGCAAAGCATAAAGATAATTTTGTTATTCAACAACTGATATGTCTTCCGTAAATTTTCTAAGTCTACAACACTGGGTGCACCAAGACTTTCAAACCATGTAATGTTGCTGCACTTTTAAAGCAAGGGAAAAGCATATTAAGTATCATGTGTATTTCCATTGTTACCATACCCTTTAATAAACAAGGCAAGTAAAGAGCCATCTGGAATCTTCTTCACCTTCTTTAGATGTGTGCTCTAATTTACAAAGATTGCGCCTGTCTCAGAATAATTAACCAGAGAACAAGAAATGCTGACAAAGGTTTTTACCTACAAAAACAAATTTCACACATCTTCACTGAAGAACTGCACAAAGTATGTTTTACCAATATTTTAAGATTTTATGTTTTCCCAAATCCTCAGTACAGCATTTAACAGCATGAATATAGATTGGTGTTACAGAAGAGTACAAAAAACTAATGAATAAAATCACACCAATGTCATGTAAAAAAGACACACATTGCACACACATTTTTAAAGATAACTGATCAAAAGCACAAATCAACACGGACAAAAATCAATCTCAGCAACCATTTAGGAAAGAATAGAAATAATGAATACAGAGACTAACAATACTTACTTTATATGAATGCCTCTTTAATTTATCAAACGCTTAATAACAGTTAGTTCCCACCCAATGTACTTATTGTAGTTTTATTTCTAATCTGTATTCAATCTTTACAGGAGTTTTTGAAACTTTTTTTACACCAGTACAACTACAAGCTCATAGCAAACATGAGTATACCTTAATGATTATACCTGAATTTATAATCACAAAATAAAAAAAGCAATGCACTTACCTTGTGGAGTTTATTGATAATCAGGTGGTCATATTTGGAAAAGATCATCACAATTCTAAAAAAAAAAACAAACAGAATATACTGACAGTCAAGCCTGAGTGTTACATATGACCATGTCAAGACACTGATGTTTACATCACAAGGGTAAAGCAACCATCTTTCCATGCAAAAGTTTCCTGTGAGTCTGGGCACATTAATAATTGATGTTCTCAACCAGAATCAACAATCTCTAACATATAGAGATTACAGGTTAATTTGTCTCCTGAAAAAGTCTTCAAAAAGCTGGGTATTTTCAAATATGATTTTCAAATAGGGACAAATTAAAGAGGTCAGTACACAGTCAAGTTTTTGGAGAGAGTACTCAGAGAAAGCCCACAATGATACTCAGCTGGTATCACTGTTGTCTCACAACAAAAACAGTTATTTAAAAATTATAACCTTACCTCAAGCGGAGACCACAGTGGGACTTTGGTGAAGTGCAATTGCTTATATCCAGCTTACCTTATGCAAAAGATGAGCAACAGCCTTAAAGACAATGCAAAAAGTTTTATTTTTTTAAACCATGACATTTCTACTTAAGCAGATTATTCTTGTTGAATCAACTTATTTTTACCATCAGAAAAATCTTTATGTTCAGTAAACGTATAAAAGGAATGAGAGCAATAGGAACATAGTGTGTACACACCTAAAGTGTCATTTAATCAAATCAAATTGGATTTGTTTGAACTGCAAGTACACAGGAGCCCCTAAGGATGCTCACACAACATGAGGAGAACGTCTTTCAAAGGTTATTGTCTTGCTCAAAAGGTTGATAATGGAATAAATGTGTCCTTAGCAACTTGCTACAGTAATACCCTCAAACAAACTTCTGGAACAATGTGTGTGAAATATCCTTTACTTCTTACATAATTATTTGTCATGTTTTCATTACATTCTGTTTCTTTGAAAATTGTAAAGGTTGGTGAAGCTTTGAGAAGCTCCAGATGTGAAACAAAATAGTTTCTGAGATTATTTAACTATTAAACTACAAGAAAAGAGCTTTATTTAACTTCTCGCTGTTGCATTGTGAACTTCCCAAAACTCTGGGGTTTGCTTCAATATCTTCTCTCATGGTTTCAGTTATCCCTCCCTTTTTTTGTACCAGTTTTTTTCCTAAACTAGTAGATTCTTTGACAATCACCTCTCATGTCTTTACCTTCAGTGTCCACTGGATGTTTAAAAGTACACAGACTTCCCCAATGACTTTGTAAGCCACAAATTATGTAACAAAACCCTTTCAATGTGCAAATGCTATATTTTTATGGGTTTTCGTTTCGCATAACCAATAGTTGTTAATAAATGGATTTATCCAATAAATTAGGTTTTCGATGGTACACTAATTAAACAGGTATTCATAAATGAAGAGCCAGGGAATGCTTATTTGAATTTTTGATCGCTTGTTGCCATTTAAACCACAAAATAATTCAACATTCACCAACACAACCAGCTGGAAACCGTCAGTGCCTGGCAGTTGACAAAATGAGTTTAGTATAATCAAAAGAAGAAAATAAACTCGTTGAATGAAAACATAAACAGACAAACAAGTCTATTATTAACGAGCTACGAAACATGTCGCGGTCAAACCAGCGGTCGAGAAGTCAGAATGTTCGAGAAGGAAAGGTTAGCTGCAAAGGTTAGCTAGCTAATTGACGGACACCTGCCTGAACACCGCAGTTCACACCCTATATGATTTTATTGTGTGACTATTTCTTATTTAAAAAATAAATCTCTAAAATAAACATATTACGTAGCTCTTTTAAAACCTACCTATGACCGCAAAAAACGATAACTTCCATATTTTTATTCGGTCCTCGGTGACGAACTTCAAAACGTCCATTAACTGATACGAATAAAGGAATGCGGGGTTCACCACCTAGGTTTGCAGGGGCCGGAAGTATACTTTCAAAGACATGAACTATGGAGGACCATAACCAGCATAAAATAGTCCAGAAAAAAAGCTTAAAGTTTTAATTAAATGTACATTTTAGTCACCATTGACTTCATAATAAGTATATCTGTCTCTATTCAATTTACTTATTTAAATTATTATTAGTAGTAGCATTTTTTGTCCTGCAGGATATTAGAAGCACTTTGTATTGTCTTGTTACTGAAAATGCTATATAAATAACATTACCTTACCTTAGAAAATACTTTTTATGGTGAAGTCTTACCTTAATCATCATGATAATATTGTTTCCAATATTGTTACATAATATTTGTTTTTTGCTCAGTGTTAAACACGGTGTATGAAACATATGTTGCCCAAATGTTTCATACACCACTGTACCTTTAACTTTTAATCTAAAAGTTTATATGTAAAAGTAGAACAGTATACAAAATATTAGAGAAATAGAAAAGGAAGAAAATGCAAAACCACACTACACAAAACAACAGAAAAAACTAACCATGAATGATAAAGAAATGTGTTTCCACCAGCAGAAATCTTTCCTTGAAATCTCACAGAATAAAGAAAATTAAAAATGATGACAAGAAAAAAACAACTCTTTATTATTTTATATGTCTCTTGATTCAGCTGCCATATAAGCACATTTCCAAATACATAATTATTCAGAAGATATTAAAGCTTTAGTTGCTACAATATAGGTTGTGGATTATTTTGCTGTCTGTTAGTGGTATGAATATTCAGTTTGTCTCAGACATCAACAGGCGACACAGCGGTGCAGAAATGAGACACGTGTGTTCTTCGCTGCTCCCCGAGACCTGCTGAACTGATGGGAGTTCTGGCTGATTGCAGCAGGGATGATAAATGAGTCTGCACATGCAGATAAAATATGAGCGACAATTTGCTGTCCAACATCCAACATATCAACAGACACTTAGCTGCTGTCCTGTTGCTGTCCCAAACACTGCTGGGAAATTTAACACAATTATAAAGAACAACTCTATTTGGATCTCTGGAAATATGGAAACTCACTGGACAACATCAGTAGTGACTGGTATATATTTTTTAAAGGCTCTACTTAAATTTCACATTAAGATTAAAACGTTTGATCAGTCAGGAAAGTGTGCTTATGTTTTTCAAGATATAGAAAACTGTATTAGAAATTTTTGTACCTCAGCATGTCTCCACCATATTAGTTGATGCCCTAAAAAATAAAAATACCAGCTGCTGGGATGCCAGAATTTCACTGTGTGAATACAGTTAAATTCTAGCAACCCCAGCTGTCAGTATTTTCCCATAAATTAGAGACTTTTTTTTTACAGTGTGTGCCGCATGATTGTAACTGAAACATTCAGGACGTTGCCTCAGAGGTGCAGTATCTTGTGAAATTACTATATGTGACAGATATCTGTTTCATACCTGAAGAAACTTTTATGTACTTTCACCATCTCTCTCCTCCATTCATTTCCAGCATAACTTCAGTATTTTATGTGAAAAACTGCTGTTCTTTATAATTCTTACATGGCCTTTTCTAGGTTAAATCCTCAGCGCAGCTCAATCTCAGCATGATAGACTCTTTATTCCCACTTAAATCAGTGACTGATGAGGAGCATTCGCTGCAGCGCGGTGTCGTCCGGAAACATGGCTTCTAATTGGACAGAGCAAGATTACCGCCGCAAGCATTTAATAAGTGTGAGAACTGACTCTCAGCTGAATTAAGTCATTTCTGGAAACATGCAGTAAATCTCTGTGGGTAAAGTGAACTTTTTTCTCTTTGCTGTGCTCACTGACCAGACCAATCTCCATTAAATTTACTGGGTAATTAATGACTTATTCTCTGAGTGTGCATTCTGTAACGTGTCACATTCATTTCTCCTCAGTCCTTTCTGAAATGGATGAATTCACAGAAGATGTGTATCCAGAGACAAGATGATTCATTTTCCAATTTCACCACATAAATAATGGACAGGATTATATTTACTGTCAGGAAATGTGCTAGTTTATGAATATAATTTCACTCTTCATTTGCTCCAAACATTGAAAACATTAAAATCAGATGGTAGCAGGCGTATAAGCTGCTGATGGGCGTCGAAAGGCTCTAATGAGCTATATGAGACTCCTGTCTTTCCATTATTCAAGATTAGGTACAGAGGGGAAAACAATATTGGCTTCGATCCCAAAACAAAATCAAATAATTAAAATACATGCATGAAATAATTGGTATTTTTTCTGATTCAACGTTTCGAGACACCTTGTAAAAAAAAAAAATTATCAAACAGTACATTAAGCTCAGTTAATGATTCAAATTAGACTACAAAGTTTCCAACTAAGTGAACCAGTCACACTGCATTGAGTATTTTAGTGAGCATGCATGTAGCGACAGTGAAGAGGAAAAACTCCCCTTCAACAAAAAGCTGTAAGCACATTATAATTAACAGAAATAAAATATTTAAATCATGAATGAATTGGTATATTATTTTACCATTTCAGCTGTTTTTTATATAAAAAAAAAATAGAAATACATTGAAAGATGCACATACACAAATAATTCAACTTCTCTTTTAAATAAAAAATGAACATTTTATTGCCTAAAATCCAAAAATAATGTATTATTTTAATAAATTTGATCTGGGTGAAACTAAAACTATGGTTGTTTTTATCTTAAATGGAGAAGTATAGATATTTTGTACAGTTTTCTTAGTTACTGCTCCGAATGTATTGTTTTTAAGCTTTTTGGAGTGTTTATTCTCCAGGTCATGATTAATCAATTACCACATTAGTTGAGAATTATTTAAATAATTGGTTAATCACGATTAATCACTTCATCAGTTCATTTTTAGTTGCACTCTTCCGTTTTTGTCCAAAACCTTGTCGTTGAGCATGATAGTGATGAGCTTAATGAAACCACCGCTAGGCGTTGGCAGAGAGCCACAAGCCGACCCGTTAAAGCCCCTCATGTTGGCTCAGTGGTGATGGGAAAACCCAAAGCGACGCTGAGCTCGGCTGGAGGTTTGACGAATCCTTGAACTCTCCTTTCACAGCAGGAATGACAGAGAAAAACCGCAGACACACAAGAGCAAAACCACACTTTTTAAAGTCAGATCAGAGTAAAAAGAGAATAGCAAACCGTTTGAAAGAAAATGGCCCAAATCCTGTTCTTGTTACCGAAAATAAATTTCTTCAGTTGATCCCTCCAAAAAAACAGAAAATTAGATGATTTTCTTTTGAAAGTATTTTTCTCTTCAAAAAACATTTAGCTCTTTTGGGAAAAAAAAGTCATAAAGTTACACCAAAAAACTCTGAAAATTTGAGAGTAATTTCATAAATTCTCTCCAAAAGAATTTTGAAATTTCTGACTTCCAAATGTCAACAATTTTCAAAAGTCAGAAACTAGTTTCTAGTGCAAATATCTTAGTAAACATGAAATAAGACAAAACTAAGTAACAGGTGTTAAGAATTAAAAAGTAAAGAACTTGATCTTAGCTCGTTAATTAATTCTTAGTCCCGAATTCCTGTGTCTGTGTAAGTGTGCAGAGAGAATAGACCAATCATACGACGTCAGACTTCAGATATTCAGAGTTTTATCCAGAGAAAATCAATGCAAGAAGAATGTTACAATAATCATCTCACCTAGAACATCAAAAGTCCAAGACATTACAGAACAGAGACAAAGAACTGAGTAAAAAAGACAGAAGATGCATCCTCCGGGAAAACTCTCACCCAGCACAAAGATTCCAACTTCTGCTGTAAACCAAATCATTTTATAGAATGCGTAATCTCATCATTTAAATATTTGCATTAGGAGGTGTGTTCTTTTCCTTTGTGTGGGCTGTCTTAATGTTAATTTTATTACCTCCTGCTCAAGAGCCCCAAAGACAGATATATGGCCCGGCTCTTTTCGTACCTGCCGCTGTCCAGTTTGATATAGAGTGCAGCTGCAGCGCTATCTCTTCCACAAAAAAGTCGTTTGTATTTTAACCAAGCTTGCACACAATGTAATGCTAAATAATGACTATAAGTTTGGATCTAATAAGTAACTATTTAAAAACATGCTTAAAGAAATATAGTTAATTCTAATATAGATAAAATTATTTATAAAAAGTTTTAAGATCCTAGTGAACTTTTGAACCATGCTCAGGAATTTGTTAATTGCCTGGCATATAGGCTCCTTATCTCAAGAGATCCAAGGAGTCTAGGCCTATGTTTTCTGTTTCTTCTGTCTGATCCTCCTTTTAAGAATTTATCTGCGTTTCAGAGATTGAGCCGTTGTTTTTAGTTTCATCTAAATTTATATGAACCTAGAGTGTACTTTAACTTTCTATGTTATATTTATATGTGTCAAAGCTATCCTGTGCAGTATTGTGCTAACTTAAAATTCTATGTCAACACAGGTAACTTTTCAGCAATATAAAGGAGCGTGTTTCAAGTCAATAATTCTTTAATGTTGAAGTTGTAGTTCGACTGGCAGATTGTCATTTCTAACACTGGAGAAAGCTCCAATGTCTCGATGAAAATGTACTTGTAAGTTAGTTTTGTCATTTGAAGTTTACTAAGACATTTGCACTAGAAACTAGACAGAACAATTTTGTGAGGTTTTGTGTTTTTTGGGGTGTTGGAGAGAAGAATAAAACCCATTTCATTAGAAGAACAGTGCAGATCTTAATAGCATGAAGCTCTGGGAAAACGGAGCGTAAGCTGTTTGTGGAGGTCAGACACGGCAGCAGATTAGGTTAATGGATGTAGAAAATAACAATGCAACACTCTGCTGCCAAGTTTAAAAGTGAACACAGATCAATATTCTGATTAAAACTGTCCAGGACATGGCGAGTGTCTCTGTGTAAATAAACCAGCTGCCTCTCAGGAGATGGCTCGCATTCATCTTGCTGCTCTCATTTCTGGCTACAACTCAAATTAATTTAAACGACTTAAACAAAAATATCACATTAATAAAA